GAAAACCAAATGCCAACTATTTCCGCGCCCACGCGACCCCTTCTTTTTTGGGACTCGTAGGGCAACACATGTGTATGCCTCCCAGCACGAGAAAAAAGGGGTACCGCAAAGCAAGAACGCCAGCGCCGGTACGAATGAGCAGCGCCCGCCATGATGGGAGTATAAAGTCTAGAAGCATGCAAGTGCAAGAAACGAGTCCGGGAAAAGCGCCTAACTGATCCGTCTCTCCACCTCGGGACTCAAGCCTTCCTTCTCCAGCTTCGCCCGCATCTCCGCGTCCGCCTCCTTGCGGATCCGGTTGAACGCCAGCTTCTCGAAGCGACTGAGCGCCTTCCACCAATGCTGCCCGGCCTCGTGCTCGCCGATACGTTCCAGGAGATCCGCCGTCTTGAGTCGTACCTCGCGGTCCTTGTGGAAGAGACCGAGGGCGATATAGAACAGTCCAGCGTGAGACTCCGGTGCGACGCTCAGAAGCAGGCAGATCTCATCGTAGGAATGGACATATTTGGAGAACTGAACATAAATCTCCTTGCTCTGCATCGGATTGAGCCGCTGCGTGCGCAGTCGGTCGTGCATGTGGTGGAGGTCGAGACCCTTGAGCGGCCTGACCTGGTACATCTGTGCGAGATCCTGAGACGGTTAGTCCACAGCCTTGCCGCGCCACAACGACGGTTTCTTTCTCTTACCTGGATGAAGCTGTAGTAACTCCTCGTGTTTCTCCAGCCCTCAATTCTTGTCACATTACCCGCAAGTTCCTTGTGTTTTGACTGCTCATCCGGCCACACGTAGCCGTGACCGTTGATGCCGATGGATCCCATCTCCAACTCATCGCCGCCAATGTAGAGAGCGCTCGCGCCGTACACGCTCTCCTCAAAGGCGGCCGCGATTCGGGTGAACTTGATCACCCAGTCTCTCCACTTGGCGCGTATCACCCTCTCGCCGTGCCTTGCAGCAATACTCCTCAAGACGTCTTGCATGAATGCCGCGTCGCCCGTGAGATCACTCTCAGCTGCAACCTTGGATGTGCCCCCGACGAGTCCGGCATAAGACGGATTCTGCTGCTGAAAGTACACCATCCCCTCTGTGACCGGCGCGGGGTCAATCTTGCTACTGATCTTGACACGCCCCGTGGGCAGGTCGCACAAGACATCCCACCATTCAGGGTGCAACTCGAACGTCGGATTGGTAACGCCCGCAATGAAGCCAGGTACGTTGAGCAAGTCGTCAATTTTGGTTAGATCCGTGTAGGGGAATGCATGTCGCGTGAAGCCCCTCAGCGTACCACCGGATGCCAAGGCGCACGCAGCCAGAACTGCCTCCGCAACCTCGCCCGAAGGCATGTTATGGCCCAGGAAAATCACTCGCTTTTGCGTCAACAACGCATTGACCAGCACGATGATCGGGTGTGTATGCGGGCCATTCGTCGTCAACTGCGGGTGCAACGGGAACGGTTGTGGTGACTTGCCCTGAGGCTCTGAGAATTTCTGGATGAGCTTGACCAGGGAGAAGTCGCCTACGGTTTCCGGCATGACGGCTACCGGGACCTTGATTGGCACCGGAATACCCTTGTACATGACCTTGCTTTCGAACTCATGCGTATCCCGGGGCACTGAATATGTCGAGCCGAGTTCGATGTGCGCTTTCGTTCCCTTTCTCGAGACGCCTGGCATTTTTGGAGGCTCCCGGCTCGCGTCAAACGGTTGGTCGCTGATGTGCTCGCCACGGTCCTCGGCCATGCGCATTTGAATCATTTGCTCAAACTTCTCCACAAACAGGTCTTTGTTGTCACTGGCTTGCAGCAGGTGTCTCTCGAGCAGGCTCAGTTTCGGCATGAGGGACAGGTCCATGGCGTTCACAGCGTCGTACAACATGGCCAATGTTTCGGGTACTGGAGCCTTGAAGTACTCATCCAGGGCTAACAGGAGAAGGGGCTGGAAACGGTTCAGTCCTGTGAAATCACACAACAATGGACAGGGAGGCATCTTACCTTGTAAATGTGCAAGAATGGATGCCTGGTGCAGATGGCCATGGCCTTGACCACAGCACCTCTCTTGACCGTCTTGTCTTGTTTAGTATTGACCAGATTCAGCACATAGATTAGCGGTGGCCCTTCTCCCCCTTCCGGCTCGTCGTCGTCGGTCTCGTCATCGTCATAATCGTCCAAGTCGTCCAAGTCTTCCTCGTCTCCCAGGTCCTCGCCCTCGTCTTCCTCGTCAATGATTCCAGCTGCGCGGTTCCTCAGCCTCTTGCGCCTTCGTTTCCTGGCCTCCTTTGCCTTGCGCTCCTCGTCTTCCTCTTCCTGACTCGTATCCTTGTGCAAGAAGAAAATGGTCCAGTCCTGGTTGCGTACGTGGGCTTGATCGGGTAACATGAGCTCCGCCAACATGTGTTCGTCGCCAGTTATGGAGACCGGGTACTGGTGCTCCATGACCGGACCTCGGTCAATATCGAAAGAGGCGACCAGAATGTATTCGACATGATTCTCGGTCGAGCCCCGCGGGTACTGAGAACGCAACTTGCGTGGGGGGTGCGCATCGGGGTTGTAGCGGCGCGGGGCAGAAAGCGACGAGTGCTGCGACGACACACCGGTGGAGGGCGTCTTGGACTTTGAGCTGGGGTTCGAGGAGCGGTCCGTCTCGGCGATAGGCGGCGGCTGAGGGGATCGCGAGGGGCGAGAAGTGTTGGACATTTGCGAGGGGGATCTCGAGGCGGAGCCGGTAGGGAAACTGGAGAGCGAAGTCCGACGACTGGGCCAGGGGCCGTTGGGCGATTGATATTGCTGGGTGTTGGAGTAGTTGCGCGTGAGGAACGGCAGCGCGGTCTGTGTTGAAGCCATGTTGAAGAGGGCCGCACTGCTAAATTGCGGAGCAGTTCAAATCGATAAATGGGGGGGATCGAGGCTTGCGCAGGCTGCCGGTAGGCAGAGCCATCCAATGCACTGCAGTGTCGAGGTCCGTCCGGGGAGGTGCAGCGATGCGAAGTAGATTTGGCTGTCTGCGACAATGCGACAGTGGGAGGGCGTTGGCGGCGGTGGTCGCAGGAGCGGTTTAACGACGGCTTGCGGCAGCCAGATACATTCGACGAGAGTCCGAGTGCGACATGAATGATGCGACCGAGAGGGAGGACGTCTGGTATCGAGTACGGCGTCCGCAGTATCGTCGGGAGTCGGGAGGCGAGTTGGATGGTGGTTGTAAGGTAAGGCACTCCTGTCCTGGGGAGAGCCAAGTGCGAGTCGTGGGGTCCCGAGATGCAAGATAGAGATAGGGAGGGCGACTGTTCGGCAGTGTAGGTAGAGTGCGAGGGAGGGCAGGCGGGAGGTATTATTGGCGCTGTATCCTGTAGGGACTCCCAGTCAGTCAGGGACCTAGGTGCGGCACCTCAGCTTTACAAGAAGGCAGGCTAGGCGGGAAAAAAGCAGCTGGTACCTAGCCGTAGGCGTGCCTTTTGCGGTGTTCACTTGTATTTCCAGGCAGGGTAGCGCGCGGAGGCGTTCTCAGACGACAGCCGGATGCGCTCTTCGAAACGTCAGATCCGGGCAGTGACTGGCGCACACAGGCAGACGCTGGAGAGGGAAACAGGATCGCCCTCGGGGAATGGGAGGCAACAGAGAAGGGATATCCTGCTCGTTTAATGTCAATGCGTTGGAAGAGAACGGCACCGAGACACCATCTGCTACGACGTTTGGCCTGGTCTTTTGGGTCTTTTCTGTTCCCGCCTACTTAGTAAGGTGAGGTAAGAAGGGCACATGGTCAGTCAGTCCATGGGTTCCATGGTGAAGGTGGTAGTGGCCGTCGCTGGTGGCCTTCTTGGTGGTGTAAGGACCTTGTAGAACTCCTGACAGGGGCTGGTTTAAGGTGTGGTGCTTCTTTTTCCTATTTTTTAAAATTGTGCAATCCAATTCGATCCCCCACCGGCACGAACAACACGCAGCTAAATGCGCCAGAAGCAAGGTACGCCTCTTTGGACCAAACAGCGCGTCTGATTGAAGATGGAGGGAGGTCTGCCCCTGATGGACACTAAAAAGGGGGAGGGTTGCCCGTCTGTGGTTGGTGCCCACGCTGCGCCGGTGTGGCTCTCCGCGTGTCGCCCAAGCAGGTCGCGGGTCGCAGGTGAGGGACAAACTAATTAGTCGTCGTTCCGTGGTTACGGATATACTATGTGTGCAGAATCTCAGAGTCAGGTCGGTATCGCTCTCTGCCTCGCCCGGTAAGTTTCGCGGTCCACGGGCACAGCAGTGAGCTGAGTGTACCTACGGATATCACCTTAAGGAACCAACCTTGAGTTTGTTCCTTCACTTACCCTTACTTTGGCACTGCATATCGTAGCTGAACAGACACACAGACACAGTCTGTCCGTCCGTCAGTCAGGCCAGAATGCCAGATGGACAGCCCGATGGCGGCGTGCGCGGGCGGGCAGCTCACGGGCAGACGAAACAAAGAGACAGGTGGTAGGCGGAGTACGGGGTTAGATACCTCTACTTGGTACTCTACAGTCCGCAATTGACGCTGAGGGGAGGTGTACATGCCGCAGCAACATACCACAGTAAACCACTGACTGCGTCTTCCATTGTCCGTGGCTATCGCCGCAAAGGAGTGGGCTTCGGCCGGTGGCAGTGGGCAGTGCCTGCGAAAGCGCCGACGAATGCGTACGTAGCTCTGCTGATCCTGATGAACGATCACTGATGCCGCCTGATTATGTATCGACTTTCCGACAACTCCCCCTCAGTGCTATGAGAAGCAGGTTCCCACGTTCCCAAGTCCCCTCCTTTTCCCTTCCCCTTTCCACGTTCTCCCCCCGCCCCCTTGTCCTCCCTCCTTTCCCCTTTTGATGTTCCCGGTGGCCCATGCTGTCGCACCCAACCTAAAATGCGCCTAGCGCCGAGGGTCCTGACGTGAAACCCCTGTGGCTGGTGGCACGCTTTCGGCAATTTGATTTCTTGAGCCACAAGCCACCAGCCACATCTGAGTGCCCCACGTCAGACATGGCCCATGCGTCGCGGGATGCTGCTGCAAGGCTGCGGTTGTCGTGGAAAAGGCGCCTCTGTTTACATTCGACCCCAAATCAGCCTTCGTCTTGTGGCTGGATCTGACCGCTTCCCAAGTGACATACGCCGCCAGCTTGGCTCTAACACGAAACCAACATCCATCGGCTCTATCCAACACTTGTGCGCAGTTTTTGATCTTGCCATTGCTTTTCCCCACGTCCTGCAGCATCACTGCCACCCTCTCAGACGTGAACCAACGCCTCTTGGCCTCTCCATATTTCGCATTGTTTACTTTGGTGCCAAGTGGGCGCGCGGCATCAGACTTCCTGAGCAAGGCATTCCCTATTTCCCACCCACCACATCTATTTTCGCCCCAAAAGCCCTCATCATGGTAGGCCAGGGTCCATCTCACGCGTCGAATCGCCTCGAGGAGCGCATGAATTTTGACGTCGAGAATCCACAGGCAATGCCCGCTGGCTATAAACCTTCCCCACTAGGACCATATGGCTCTCCGCGCAGCTCACCCTTCCGACGACCAGAGTCTCCAGCATCGCCTTCTGCTGTGCGCCAAGCCTCGACACAAGTCACCCCGTCCGGATCACCGACCAAGGCGTCCTACGCTACCAACAACGGGCGATTCGGCAACCCAACCACTCCGACAGAGACAGTCGAGAGCCGTACACCGAGAGTGCGCACGCCCACTGGCGGCGAGACCAACAACATCATGACCTCGCCCATCGCTGCGCGGCCAGCGTTGAAGAAGAGCGTCAGCCACGGCGGCGCCATTGCGCAATTGCAACCTGCTCAAGTCAGAACACTCAGAGAAGGATTTGAGATTCTGGATCGCGACAGCGACGGCATCATTAACAGAGACGATGTGGCGGACATGCTGAACCAGCTGGGTAAGTCGACGATGTGACCGCTCTGCTTCGCTTGCACTGTTTGACACTTTCAAGGCCTGCCATCCAACGCATCAGATGTAACACATTTCTTCCCGCCGTCCGCACCTCAGACGATGACGATGGCGGCCTTTCTCAACTCTCTAGCCACGATGATGGCCTCTCTATCCCACCAATCCGAGCTTCTCTCCGCCTTCTCCGCGTTCGACGACGACGACAGTGGCCAGATCAACCTGAACGAGCTGCGAGACGCGTTGCTAAATACTGCGCCAGAGCCTGGCGAACGTCCGCTGACGGAGGCCGAGGTCGAGAAGGTGATTGAAGGCTTCACGGGCCGCAGGGCGTTCAGTCGCAGCATGCAGGGCGGATTAGGCAAGCGCGGCGAGGTCTTTAGGTACCAAGATTTTGTCAACTCCATCATGGGCTCCTCCAACACGGCATCAGAGCCTAACTCGGCCGAGGGATCGGAGGACTGAGGCTACAAAACAAGAAAAGTCTATGGCGCAGGGGAGATCGGGGTGTGACGACATTGGGCGAGCAATATGTGGAGACGAAGCTTGCCGTAACCGCGGGGAGGGGAAACGAGCACAATTAAATGGAAACGGAGGGATTGACGAACAGATTTGGACATGACTTGCACTGTATTTTTATTCATTGGGAAATAATCAAAGGACACTGATCCGCGGATCACGGAAAGTGTCAGGAATAATTTCGGCTTCGTTTCACAGCATTTCGCGCCAAGAGAGGTAGGCCTGTTTGGCGCCAGGTAACAAGCCGTTGCGGCAGGCGCCCATTGTGACGATGACTTGACGTCGAGTGACCGGGGACAGATCCCACAGAGGCCAAAGCCGGGGCGGGGGATCAAGGGCTGTTCCGTCGAGGACGATTCCACATGCAACGACGGTGTCTCTTCTCAAGACATGGGGATTTCAGTGTAATGGAAAAGGCTGGGACGCAGGCCGTTGAGGGCAGTGCATGCACGTATTCTGCATCCGCTTCAACTTGCATCCAGAGGGGTTCTGGGAAGACCCGCTGGACTGCGTAATAACCCTGGCCACGGTGGCCTTGAGCGGCAATCTGGACTTTGGGATGGGCAATTTGAATGGGCAAGCCGAGGGGGTGGTGATGCCATCAGTTTGGTTTAGGGGGAGGCTGGGAGATGCACATCACCTCAGCGAGGAGGCCACTCGGGGCCACTCACAGGGCAGTCTGCAGCGGCCTGCCTACCTGTACATACAGCATGCAGCAGCAGCAACGGCAGCAGCTGGCAGGGCACCTCTAATTTTTTTATTTTATTTTTTAGTCAAGGGGCCGGCGGCAGTGACCGGGACATGGGGTGTTCCGAGCTTTCACATTGATTTTTCAGGGACTTTTTCTCAGTTGCGGTCGGTGCAGGTGGTCGGGTGCCATTCAGCAACCAGCACCTTCGGGCGGTTCGGCGGCCCAAGGTGACAGCGGTCAATGGCGGGCGCTGATTGGGCGTATCTCGCAGGGTCCGGGACGGAGCCCCACCGAACCTTCTCGAACCGGCCCGCTGGGATGCAGCGGACTTGAAGAGCAATAGCCGTTTGTTGCAAACGCCTCGATATGCCGATTTAGCCTGTATCCCGAACCTTCCTAAGCAGCAGCGGCACGGGTATGGCAATTTGGGCTGTAAGTAAAGGCAGATGCACAATAGGTAGCCTGAAAACTCAGCGTCTGCCGGCCGGGCTGCGTTTTCCATGTTACTCGCGTGCCGCTGTACGACAGCTTGGCTACAGTGTTTCCCTGCTTCTTCCTCTTCTGCTCTCCCCCTAAAAGCCTCGGAGTCGGTGAAAGGAACGTGCTCAGCATTATCTCATCCTCGACGTCTGATATCCGCCGTGTCCCGACAGTCAGGAAGGGCAGCTGTGGTCCCCCTGCAAACGCCATGACGCTGTCGTCCCTGGGCCCTGGAGCTGGAGGACCCTCCAATGGAGGTTGAACACACGAAAAGCTCCTCTTTCTCGGGATCAGGTCTAGTCACTATCCTGGTCTATTTCTAGCCAGTACAGTTGAGGCCTGCGTCGGTCGCCGGGAGGATATGACATGGCCCCCGACGAACCTAATACTTTGCGCGTGATGCGCCATTGGTCCGCCGAGGGCGACTGCGAAATCACGGTGGCTAGGAAACGAGACAGGAGAAAGACGAACAACAGCGAGTAACACTCCTCTCCTCGTCGTCCGCAGACCAGTCGTCCGACGATCTCTTCATCCACCGCTGTGCAGGTAGGTAAACAAGTCGACGACGTCTTGGCCTCGCCATTGGCTCTCTGGCGGCTGCGAGTAGTCATCGGGAGACGGGACTGGACCGTTTGGACAAGCTTCCTGTGGGGATGTGTGGCGGCGGCCGGTCTTGGTTACATCAACTGCACGCACAGCGCACGCGACTCTGCAGGTATCAGATACACGTTTTGCCGGCCGCGGGCGCCCAATGGCAAAGGCCAAGTGCCATGCCCAGGCGAGACAGGCAGTTGGTCGACATGGAGATGTCAGTTGTCTCTGGCAGGCTGGTTTGGTTTGGTTCTTGGGAGAGATCCTCCTCGCGGACAGGGCTGGGGAGGAGCAGAAGCACCGCCTGGAACAGCTGCAAGGGCGAGCAACAGCAGTCCCCGCCAGCTGGTGTCATGGGGATAATGGGTGTAAACTGTTGTAATTGGCAGCGCTGGGTTGTGTGCTATGTAAAATATACATGGCCGTCCATCCACATCACGCACGCCCAGGCGAGCACATGGGCGTCCAGGGCCTTGTACAGTCTCCGTCTTCCCCGTATCCATAGGTACAGGGCGGGCAGAGAGAGAGAGAGAGAGAGAGACGGAGAGAGGAGAGGCAGGAAGGGGAAGAAGAAAAAATTGTGCACAGCTGATAAATCGATCAAGTCCCCCGGGCGAGCAAGGCTCGTCTCGCTTGTTGTTTGGGATTTTCCGTTATTTCGTCTCTCAGGATGACATCTGAAAAGCAACTTTGTGCAATCTCCATCTCTAGCTATTGTTGCTGCTGCTGCCACTGAGCTTCTGCTTGCTTGCTTGCTGCTGCTGCCTTACCTTGGCTTCTTTTACCTTGCCTTACCGACGTTTACCTGCCTCCACCGGGTTCCCGTCCCCTACCCCTCTATCTTTTGCCTGTCCGCCTCTCAGGCTTTCTCGAGCACCTCCTCCAGCCCGTCAAGTCTCCTCCAGTGTCCACTCCCCAAGTGCCAATGGGCTGTGTGTCTTCTGGCTGAGCCTCCTCTCTTCCTAAACCTTACCTTACCTGCCTGGGCTTCCTTCCTCTCTCTCTTTCCCGCCTCTCCTTCTGCGCGCCCTCGCCCTCGCCCTCACCTTACCTCTACCTCGCCTTTCCGAGAGCCCGCGCTGTCCTTCTCTCACTCCTTCTTCCTCCTTCTCTCGTCCTGCTCTTCGACTTTTTGTTGTTTTCTTGAGCTTCTTTTGCCTTTGCAGCCCCCAAAAGCAGCAGACAAACGCTTGCCTGCACCATCCGAACCCTTCCCGCATTCCACTCCCCGAGACAAGGTACAGCTGCCTTCACCCGGGCGCACCCAAGGTCCAAAGGAAAAGGAACCTTGAGCGCAGGAAAAAAAAAAGTTGCTGCTGCAGCCGGCTCCTTCACTAGGCCCGTTAATGCGCTTTGGGGAATCCGGCACAAGCATAACCTTGCATCGAGGTCTGCCGACCCTCCTTACCTAATTAACCAAAAAAAATAAGCCCGCGCATTCTTTTGGTTCCCCTCAGAGGGTGCTTGCTTTATCAATGAAGCTCTTCGCAAAGAAGTCGTCCAAGAAGCAGCAAGCCGGCCAGGACGAAAACGACTACGACGCCCCCCCAGCCTACTCTCACTTCCCTCCTCCCACCAACTCGGAGGCTTCCTCTCCCACAAAGTCGCCCACCAAGCCCCGGTCACCCACCAAGGCTCATTCGCCGACGAAATCCCCCACCAAAAAATCCTCCCAGCCCGCATCTCCAGGCCCTCGGGAGACAAAGTCATCGCGCACATCCCGCACCTTTGGCCGCCACCCTACCGATCCCGGATCACGCAGGACCAGCAAGATCGACTACGACACTCACCCCCTCAACCTCACCCCCGAAGAGCGTGCAAAGCGCCTTTCAGCCATGAGCGGTCGCAACTCCCCCGGAGCCATGGACATTGACTCCTCCCAGTCCAACGCCGCTCCTTCCTCCTCTCCTGCCCCGGCCCCCCAACCCTCCGCCCAGGCTTCATTCTCCGTCCCCATACCGAACGGCATCAACACAAACGTCAACGGCAATGACAACGGCGATGCCCCTCCTCCCCCACCTCACAAGTCCAACCCCTCCAGCCCTGTGCCCACCACCGAGGATGAGGCTGAGGCCTACAAGGGTGCGGGCAATAAGTTCTTCAAGGAGAAGGACTACAAGAATGCCATCCTCCAGTACTCCAAGGGTATGTTGCCGCCGGTTGCAAAGTCCGCGACACCACAGTTACTAAGTCCAGTCTAGCTATCGAGTTGGTCCCCGATTCCGCCACCTACCTGAGCAACCGCGCTGCTGCGTACATGTCCAACACCCAGTATGAGTACGCCCTCGAGGACTGCACCCGCGCCGCCGATCTCGACCCCGAGAACCCCAAGATTCTCCTCCGCCTGGCCCGCATCTACACCAGTCTCGGACAGCCCCAGGAGGCCCTTCTGGTCTTCGGTCGCATCAACCCGCCTCCCTCTGCCAAGGACCAGGCTCCGGCCCGGGAGATGCTTAAGCACATCACCGCCGCCCAGAGCGCCCTGAGAGATGGCACCGCCGGCTCCATGGTTTTGCACGCCCTGGACCAGGCCGAGCGACAGCTGGGTTTCGGTGCCTCCAAGCCCCGCAAGTGGCAACTGATGCGTGGCGAGGCCTACCTGAAGATGGGCACCGTGAATGCCCTCGGCGAGGCGCAGAACATTGCCATGAGCCTGCTGAGGAGCAACAGCCAGGATCCCGAGGCTTTGGTGCTCCGCGGACGTGCTCTGTACGCCCAGGGCGAGAACGACAAGGCCGTCAGCCACTTCCGCAAGGCTATCAGCTGCGACCCCGATATGCGCGACGCCGTCAAGTACCTGAGAATCGTCCAGAAGCTTGACCGCATGAAGGAGGAGGGCAACCAGGACTACAAGCTTGGCCGATGGCAGTCCGCCATTGAGAAGTACACCTCCGCTCTGGAGGTTGACCCCGCCAACCGCGGCACCAACTCCAAGATCCTGCAGAACAGGGCGCTCTGCAAGATCAAGCTCAAGCAGTACGACGACGCCATCGCCGACTGTGAGCGTGCCATCAGCCTGGACTCAACATATCTCAAGGCTCGCAAGACCAAGGCCAATGCTCTTGGCCAGGCTAACAAGTGGGAGGATGCTGTGCGTGAGTGGAAGGCGATCCAGGAGCTCGACCCCGAAGACCGCACCATCGCCAAGGAGGTTCGCAAGGCCGAGCTGGAGCTCAAGAAGAGCCAGCGCAAGGACTACTACAAGATCCTCGGCGTTGAGAAGGATGCGGATGACAACCAGATCAAGAAGGCCTACCGCAAGCTGGCCATCATCCACCACCCCGACAAGAACCCCAACGACGAGCAGGCTGCCGAGCGTTTCAAGGACATTGGTGAAGCCTACGAGACCTTGAGCGATTCTCAGTAAGTGGCCTGTCTAAACACAATCAACCTGACCAGTACTAACCATTCGACAGAAAGCGTGCTCGATATGACAGCGGTGAGGACCTCATCGACCCCTCCGACATGTTCGGTGGCGGTGGTATGGGAGGTGGCATGGGCGGCATGGGCGGCATGCACGGAGGCATCGACCCTGAGATCCTGTTCAACATGATGGGAGGTGGTGGCGGCTTCGGTGGCGGCGGCGGCTTCAATGGAGGCGGCTTCCCCGGCGGCGGTGCACACTTCTCGTTTGCTGACGGCTCCGGTGGTCGCCCGCGCGGCGGCCAAGGGTTCGGTGGACGCGGCTTCAACTTCTCGACCTGACAATCCGAATCGGAGGAAGATGAAGCAGAACGCTACGACGAGTCGGCCAAGCCGGGACGCAAGCCGGGCGGCTCATTCACCCAAGAGACGATGAAGAACCACATGAAGCGGCGCCAAGATAGAGGTGGCCGAATTGTGGAAAAGGTACGCCAGTACGGAGTGTGGGTTGTGGCCGCTTTGGTCCTAGTTCCCATGCAGCTCCTGATACTGGCCGCGATAACTGCGGGATTCGTGTATATTTGCATCTTAGGGGCCCGGAAGCTGGGCATACGGCTCCGTGGCGGGGAATGAGTCGACTGCAGACTGGCATTCATGATCTGTTTTTTTCGGGATAGACATGACGCAAGAAAAGTCACACACCGGCGGCGTTATCAAGGCATCGATCGATTGTCACCCCCTTTTTTCAACCCAAACCTTTTTCAAACCCTGCGTTTTTCTTGTTAGAGTTACGACACCCAATTTCACAAATTCATGAGGAAGAGAGAAAGAAACCCAGGGGCACATGTCAGTCTTGTTTTTTACTAGTTTTTGTCTTCCCAAACAAATATGGGGGTGGGCTGGGAGGCGTCTTGCATATCTCTACTACGGGGGATTGCTTTTCAATGTCATCAAGGTTAGGCATAGTTCACACACCTGGTAATTGGACTCTAGACTTTGTCTCGAGCAGGTTCATGTCGCCTACTGCATGTTGCAATCCTTTTAATTGTGTCGCACTCATGAGTCTCTATAAATGTGTGATTTGTCGCGTCGTCACGACTTTTGGGTATCAATTATCCAGCGTCTCCATCCATCCATCCATCCATTCATCCGTCTATCCAACACGACTCTCTCCCCGTGCCTAGTTCCCTCCAGGCCGCCCGCTCCCGGTGACCTTGGTCGCCTCCAGCACCCTCCCGACGTCGTCCCTCAGCTCGGGCATGCCCTTCTCGATGTGCTCGGCGAGGACGTCGCGGAACTGCGCGAAGGCGTTCATCTTGCCCTTCATGAGCTGGTTCCCGCGGCGGACGAGCTCGACGAACTCGCGCGTGTAGATGTCCGGGTTGCGGCCGTTCTCGACGTACTGCACGAGCTCGGGCGGGATCTTGGGCAGGGCGCCCGGCAGGTCGGGGGAGGGCGGTGCGCCGGCGGTGGCGGTCATGTGCACGCGCTGCAGGGACGAGGAGAGGGCGCTGACGGAGTCGGTGAGGGCGGGGCCCGTGGGCGTCTGGTTCGCGTTGTAGGTCGTCACCTGGACCATGATCTGGTAGAGGTCCTGGATCGTGTCTTTGAGCTGTTCTGTTTCGGGTGAGGGTTAGCGGGCGCCGCGAGGAGTTGACGAGACGTTGCTTACGCTCGAGTTCGGCGGGAGTTGGTTTGTCCATTGGCGCCATCTTTGCGTGTGTTCGGTTGGAGAGTCAGGTAGAGGGCTCGTGTCCGAGGGCGGTGGTTGAGCTCGCGGTTTGGGGATGCGATGCTGTGGGATGCGACGATGCGAGGCTGAGGTTTGCGATCGATGGATGTTGATGGTTAGGGTGTTTTAGTTTGGCTGACATCTGTTGGCGGGATGAGCCGGCGGCACCTTCTGGCAGGCACCTCAGGTAGGTGTGGGGCACCGTCTTACAGGGGCTGGGCGGGTGTCAGTCCGGGACCCTGGTCATATTAGCTGACCCCTCTGCATAACTTCAACGGTGGAATCTTTCCTTGGCTTTATTCCTTGGACGGCCGGGAATAACCCCACGAGGCTAATGGCACTTTGAGATGGCCGTCGGGTTAAAGCAGTCTATTTTCGGGTGCATTCCACACTTTAGAGTGCTTCTGGTAAGGATACCTCCTAGACAATGAATCTCAGGGTCCAAGATCGGACCCCGCGTTACGTCTCACTTTGCGCCTCCGAAGACCCTCCTCCAAGCTGTCTTCTTCCTCGTCCCTTCGCGGGGCGACTCCGCGCCGTCAGCCGTCATCCTCTCGTGGTCTCCGTTGTTTCTGCCACGATCGATCCCAGTCTCTGGTGTCTCACGCAAATGTCCTAGACTGTTAGCCGTCCTGCTTACTCGCCTCAGCGCCACCATGGCCGACTCTCTAGCACGCGGCCGTGGTGAAGGGGACCGGATGGGGTTGTACAGCTCCAGATACTCAGCCGACTGGGGCGGCGGTGTGCGGCGCACAAGACGCACAGCTCTGCGTCCGTGGCCTGGTGGCACCAGTGGGCTTCGGGGCCGGACACGTCTTAGTTGCGGGGGCGGCGTGATGTGTCGTGCTTCCCTCTCACCAGGGGTCTCGGGAGGCGTCATGTAACCTGATGATGTAGTCGTGTCGGTCTTTTCCAGACGGTCCCCGAGACGAGCTGCGAGGCGGGACGATGGGCGCTTGAGAGGTTCGTTGCTAACCCAAGTGGGGGCCTGGGGACGTCGCTGGTCCGTTGGCCACATGCGGAGAGACATTGGCGAAGGGCACGGCGAGAAAGACTGTGGTGTTGTCGGCTGGTAGGTTGGCGTTGGCGACCCCATTGTTCCCACCGTCGAGCCGCCAGACACCGATGTCTCTGGGGTTTGTGCAAATCCAACGAGACTTTGAAGTGGACTGTTGGCTACTGGACGCTCTTCTACCTGATCAATGGGCCGGTACGGTTGCATCCAAGTTGGAATTGGCTTCGTTGGACTTGGTTTGAAGGTTTCCTCCTCCAAAGGGTCGTTTACCGAGACATAGATCGTAGAATCCAGCGGCACTGGACGTTGCTCATCTCCACCGCGGAGGGCATCTCGACGTAGCGACAACGAGTCTCGACTGACGGACCGAATTGACTGCTCAAGAGTTAGTAACGTAAACGATTAGTCGATTGTTCACTTACAGCCGGAGCTGTCACCAAGTTCCCAGTCTTCCCTTGGCCTAGCTCCCATCTTATGCGGCCAAGACCGCTGTCGACTTTCTCGGTCCTTTTCAGCCCACTCTGCACCAAGTCTTCTCCCTCGAGGCCGACGGAGCAAGCGACACAGACCGGGGGGACATCAACTTCCCTTCCCTTCCTCCTACCTAGCATGCCTTCCCTGTCAAGGTCCTCTCCGTGGTCGTCAAAGAGGTTCGACAACGGCACCCCGCGGTAGATGATCTTGCTCCCGTAGAACAGACAGCCGTAGCATGCTCGATGCCAGAAGCACCAGCCCAGACTGACACAGTCGTCTCCACGCAGTACAATCTCGCCGCAGACCCAGCATATTGCGAGGTCGATAATGGCCGTATAGCAAGATAAGCAGGTGAGGCGGGCTGAGCGGCCCAGGACCTGTGGAGGGTCGTCGGAGAGCTGCTAGCAAAAGGCGCAAGTGAATGGAACCCGTGCCGGATCCATGTTCCCCGTGACTCAAAGACTGTGATATCTTCCTAATGATTCGAATAAGTGTGGTATAGAGAATGAATCGACCATGACGTGAAGTTAGGGAGTAGTGGCGCATAACGTTGACCGTAGTAGTGCGGTGACGCGCCTGGCAAGTGCTTAAAGCCTTATTCAAGGGCAGGAGTACTCTCACCAGCACCTGCACATCGCCCGAATCACTTTCCAGTAGCACAAAATTCTGCTCAAACTCGTATGGCCATTGCATTGGCGCGCAGCTTTTAAAACCTAAAACTCAGTTGAGGTGATACCTTGACCGAGACCAAACACAAAATGCAATCCTCTTGTCAACGCCCATCGTATTGTACACATGTAGACCAAACAACGCCATGGCCAAGCCATCCCCGGCCAATCCCCCTGGTTCTGCCAAACTAATCAATCTGCAAATCAAAGCATCCATCGTACGCCTTTCATGTGATCCTGAGACACCGGAGCAGAAGAACAACCAGTCTTCTGGTGCAACTAACAGCCGAGTGTCTCCCCATTCGTCATCATATAGTACAATTCAATAACACCTTTACGGTGTCACGAAGCAATGTGCTGGCTCATAATATTTCCATGCGGAAGTTCATGCCGTATTCAGTTGCGCATCTTCGGCTTAGCCAGCATGTTCAGTCGGCTGAGGCTCATGCCGGTGCGCTTCTTAGTAGGGCTCGGAGAAGCAAGGACTCGGGGAGTCTGCGGCTTCTTGCCGACGGTGTTGGGGGTAGCTCCCATAAGTCTGGGAGCAAGCAGAGCGTCTCCCTCAGGGACGGGCTCAGCCTTACGTCTCTTGCCAGCCCGCTCACCGGAAGCCTCTTCGAGATCACCGTCCTCCTCGCGCGCTCGAGCGCGCTTCTTGTTGGTCATTCCGTGGGGCTTTCCAGCGAGAAGCTGCATCAGGGACCGGTTCTCCTTGTTGGAGAAGGTGTTGGAGTCGTTGGGGAAGCTACCCGGCATGTCGAGCGATCTACGCACATGACGGATGCTTGATTGTCCTGCAGTCGAGCCAAATCCAGTGGGAGAGGCGCTACCGAACCGAATGGTATGGTCGCTGCGGAAGGTAAAGGTACCGGGGACGGTCGCGGGCAGAGCATTGCTGGGCTCTGCAGTCTTCGTAGACGGGCTCTCAATCGTCAAATCGGGGTACAGGCCATCATCTTTGGTTCTCTGGGTAACGTTGTTGCCAAGAATAGCGTCGAGGTTGGGATACTGAACCTCGCCTTGCTTACGAATTGGGTTAGCAGAGGCGAATGCCTTGTGGGCGATCGTATTCGGAACGTCGGTTGTGCGGTTCGTGTCAGGAGTAAAATCAACTCTCTTGAATAGCTTGCGTCGGGGAGTAGTGAAGGGGATGGCGGGCGGTGCCTTCTCGATGGCGACCTGGGGAGCGGGAGTCTGCGCGACACCAGCCGCAGGCTGGGGAATAGCACTCTTCGCCTTATCGAAGGCACCCTTTCCACCTCGCAAAATAGACTTGACCCTCTCGAATCGTCCAGGGCTCACAATCCGGCGTTTCAGCTCGGCTGTCTTCTCCAGCGCACTCAAATCATTAGTGGTTGCAGACTTTGTGAGGCCGCCCAAGTCGGGCTTGGATGGAGACTTTCGAAGGCTTCCAAGGTCGGGCTTGGAAGGAGATCTTGCAAGGCTTCCCAGGTCAGGCTTGCTGGGAGACTTGACCAGCGAGCTAGGCAGAGGCATCTTGCTGCCAGCAGCGCGAGCAAGGGAAGACTTGGTAGGGCTAGTCAACGAAGCCAGGCTAGGCTGGGACCGAAGGCCAGGCGTAGGCGTAGGCGCAGAGGCAGCAGGAGCGTCATTACCGCTGGACTTGGGGCGCGGAAGGGAGCTACCATCGCGAGAAGTGGGACGCGCCGTCGAAGCATCGTCCTCGAAGCGCTGACGAACACGCTTGACAGACGAAGGGGGTTCCAGGTTGGCGAAGATTCGGGCCCTAGGGTGAGGACCAGCCGATGTCTTCTTCGCGTCGTTGGAGTTCGTGTCGTCCAGGTTCGCCTTGGAAGGAGACCGCTTGAGGCTCGACTTCTGGCTGGGTGTACCAGCGGCCAGCAAGTTGGGCTTAGAAGGCTGTTTGAGGATCGACTTAGGATGGCTCGGAGTGTCGTCGAGGTTGGCTTTTGAGGGGGAGCGCTTCAGGCTGGACTTTGGATGAGTAGGAGTATCATCCAAGTTAGCCTTAGACTGCGAGCGCTTGAGAGAACTCTTCAGAGGAGTGACCCGGCCGGGTTGGGCGCGGAAGGCGGAAGGATGACCTTCGATAGAGTCCATCTTCTTGAACTCGGCCATGTGAGCAGCGCTGTAGCGGCTCGACTTGCCCTTCGCCTTTGCAATTCGTCGTCCATTCAGCTCTTCGTCCTCCCTCTCGAGTTCGCGCTTAGCCAGCAGCTCAGCCTTAATTCTAGCGGCCTCCTCGCGCAGCTCATTCATCATGCGCTGGGCATCGTTGCTCAAGCCGGTGTCTCCAGTCGGCTGATCAACGCGGAAAGTAAAGGGCGACTCAGGCACGCCAGACGTCTTGGAGGGCGTCGCCTGAGTATCGGTGGTCTTGTCGGAGGGCTTCATGTCTCTGAAGCCAAGCCAGGTAGCGGAGGGAGGGGCAACGGTAGGATGAACCTTGCTCGGGTGCATCTCCGAGAGGGGAGCCTTCAGTTGAGAAGAGGAGGAAGGCGTGGCCGGGTCGTGATCGGGGACGACAAGGGCGTTCAAGCTCTCAGCGACAGACTTGGAGGGAGGAGTATCATCTCGCTCAGCAACGGAAGCGAGAGTCTGTTTGGCCTTGGGCTAAAAAAGAAAAAGGACGTTAGTTCGGGGCCCGCGAGTCGTTTGTTTACAGCCGGCGGTCGGATTGTCTTACCTTGGGCGTGTTCGCGCCGCTGGCCAACCGGGCCGAACGACGGCGAGGCGGCGTCATGTTGGATTGCGGCTCTGTGAGGGTATCGTCGACGTGGTTTTGGTGTTGCTGTAAGGTTAGTATGGGTGAGGATCAAGACGGAGAAATCGTCGATCAAGCCAGGTCCTTGGGGACAGAGATTTGATGATGTCAGGCGAGAGTGACAGTGGGTGTGGCTCACAGGTTCGGTGTTGGTACGTAGAACGCGACGGGGGAGTGCTTGGAGGGGCTGCCGTTTGTTTACATTCCACAGTCATTTGCCTTGTTTCGATTGGTCCGTTCGAGGTAGAAAAACAGTGACGGCCCAAGCTCCACGCCCCGGGCCTTGGGTGATCAAGTGGGGCTACCGCAATCCGGACAGTGTTTGCACCGTACATTGGGCGCATTTGTTTACCGTTCGCGGCGCCTTCGCCCAGTGTTTGCTTGGGTTCACCCTGAACATGTCGTGGGTCAAACAAACAGAGCAGGCGCACCTCGTGTCCAGGGGTCCACGTCTACTCTTTCTCGAACTCTCTGTTGTTTCACGTGGCTTGTTGTTGTTCACGTTGTTCTGGACGCCACGGTAAGTACGACGTTGACATTGACACCTCCTGTTGTGGCTGCATCTGGTCGATTGGATGGCAGTGGTGCGCCCACTCAGAGATATCAACGAACGGAAAGTCTAGTGGACGATGCGATCACGACAACAACAAAGCCAGCCTCGGCTATGCGTTCAAAGGCGCAACGCCATTATCTGGTGGCTGCAACTCAACGCAAGCCAGTGTCGGATCACACATTTCTAGTTCCCGGTTCTCTCCATTTAACCTCGTTCGAAACATATGGGTCAACGTCTCGGGAGTAAACGCTGTCTACCGAGGATGAAAGGGACTGAAAGAAAAAGATGAGCCCGGACTGTCGCATCGTTTCGCCCCTCATAATGACGCAGCATGAGACTCCAAGTGTTCGTGTTGTATTCCATGGATCGATGCTACGAAGAGCCCAGCAAGGTTGAATATTAGCGAAAGTCTACCCGACTCCGAGGAACTGGATCTTCCCACCTTCGCTTGAGAGTTGCGACTCGAAGTCAAATTCGCCAAAGTGTAGCGATTTCCTTTGTGAACACGCACTGTACAAACACTCCGCCTGCAGAATGATTTGGGCCTGGTAGAAATGAACGCATAAAATATGGACATGCGATAGAAGTCGAGGCTTGACAACAAAACACCAAATTTGAGCCTGTCATTCTTCCTGCGACGTCTCAACAGTAGACGATTTGCCCAGAATGAGGCTCATGGTGCGGAATGCTGGCTATCCAGCTAGTTCCAGATGCAGCGCCATGCTAGTGAATGACGACACTTGATCCTCGTTGCCGCATTCCAAACGAGAAGCTACGGTTCAGAAATGAATTGCCACTATGGAATAGGAAAGGTTCGCCGGGGTGTTCTAGCAGGACATCCACCAACTTTAATCTGGTGATGTTCTTGACTGGTAATCTGTCCAACATGACCCATTTAGTCTTATCTCGTGTGCGACGGCCACTCACTCTTTGGAGGACAGGCTGTTCCGGGAACCGGCTTCTTCACAGTTTCACTCTGATCTTACAATCACTTCTTCTGTGACTTGGAGCATCCTGTTGGTCACGCTTAGCTGCCGTGAAGAGGCGGAGTTCCCTGAAGAAGTCCGTTTGCGGGCAGGATCGATATCAACAATCTGGCTTTCAGTCCTTTGGGTTTGTGTGGTATGCATAGCGTAATCGGTGTTCGATTTAAGGATTGGTGTCTAGTTGGGTAGCTGGCTCCCCTCTGATACTCGATTTCCATCTTAACCACACTCTGTCCTCAATCCAAGCCGCCTTTGCCTGCCCTTCCTCCCGTTGCAGCCATCTCATCTGATACTCTGTGTTCACTTGGTCAGTTTCTTGTATCCGGCGAAAAGTCCTGCAAGATAGAGCTAGAGGGAAACCTACATCAGACCTCGTCTAAGTAAGAAAGAATCGTCGCAGAATACTTCGGTTGCCATGTGACGTAGAGAACGAAGCAAGCAGCGCCCTGCAAACTCTTTCCATCTGTGAAGCTCTGGCGTCTGTCCTTCCGTCTTTGGATCGGCATTGTTACCCAAGGATGGCAGTGGCGGGAAGTCGAGCTTGAGGCTGATTGGCCTTGCGTCTGGTAAGAGGCTTCACGTCCAGTTCCAGGATCGACCACCAGGATGGATGAATTATTGCTCTGATCCACCGGTCGTTCTGCGCAGCGAAATTCTGAAGAAGGACCTCACTGTCGAAAGGGGAGTAGCGAGGCTTGGGTGGCTCCTGCGGGCCATCGCGGCGAACAGTGGTCTTCATGTTGAGGTGATGTTGTGGTTGCGGCGGGATTGCTGGGAAGTGAATGTGGAGGAGTTGTTGTCGAGAAGTTGTTCGGAAGAATGCGAATGGACTCTTAGGAGTGAGTGTGGGGACGATATGTTTGTGTTGAGAAAGAAAGAGAAGTCAATCGCTGGCGCGAATTGGGACTACCAAAGAAGCGTCAGGTACCAGGTGGCAGGCAGCAATATCACCTGCCTCTTCACGGCTTAAATGCTTGTAATTCCCAGGGTGAAGCAAATACACGCACGCGACAGGATGGAAAGAATGTGTACATCACCGGTGGCATCGATCAGCAGTCACGGTCCAGGTGTGTAGGTCTGGCGGGTTTGATTCGTATTCATATTGCTCAATTTGACGCCTACCTCTCAATTTCATCTCGCGCTCCAAAGCTTCCACTCGCAGACTAGCACCTCTCCGTCATTCTTCCTCTCTATCTTTTCACTCTCAGCTCATCTTGGGCTATCTCCAGGCCTGTCATGTCAAATGTCAGTGTTTCGTCAACTATCATCAGAGTATGGGACGGCTGGCTACTCACAGATTACCGGCAATGTGTGCAAACAAGGCATTGAAGCCATGTACGCAATCAACGACGATTCTTACGAGGTGCCGGAGGCTTCCTCATTAATACCAGTCGGCTGGCCAGTCGGTTGCGAGCGGGTGGGAGGCGGAATATATGGTTGGAGGAGTCAATTGGTTCGAGGAGCTTGGAGGGGTTGGTTGTTCCGCAAGAAGCATTTCTAGATGATGCGCCCAGACTTCGTTGTAGAACTCGGGCGAGCCTGCCTGCCCCTGAATGCTTGCGGCATTCGACTTCGTGGTCTCCTTCACTTCTTGAGGGCCATCGCGTCTAGTCTGAGTCTTCATCTTGTAGTGTGAATGGCGGAGTTGATCGGAGTGGGTGTCCAACGTGAAGAGTTGCGTAGGTTGTTGATGATGATGTTGTTGTTGTTGAATGTGAATCAACTTCTTGACGGTTCAGCGAAGGAATGGGGGGTTTAAATAATCGATCGCGTCAGGGGGTGGACAGATATCTGACGGTAATTGGGAAGGCACAAGCCTGTGTGATCTTGTTGAATCCAGTTGCAATACCACTTCGAGGCCAGATGTAAGACGTCTGTGGGAGACGATGGCAGGTTCGATCGAGTCTGCTGGCAGGAAGGAAACTATACACGATCGTCCACGGAATTGCAAGGCTCACTTGGACGAAGCTCGGTGGTCTTTCAGTTACACTAGGTATACGGCAAACAAAAGTCCCCCTGAGGCCTTGGGCCTTCTCGAGACGACGCCTCTGCCGAGTGCTAATCACTGAGGCGACATCGACCAACTTGGCGCGGGGGTATGGAGCGTAGACATCGTATTCAGAATAAAGTTAAGCCTACTTACGTGGAAGCTTCGTGGTATCATATTAAAGATGCTCTTGCTCGAGGAGCACGATTTTCTCGCAATTGTACAGAGTCCGCCCACGGCTTCCAGTGTGATTCGTCTTGACTACAGTGGCAACAGAAAGGTTGAGATATTGAATCTTTGATAAGCTTCCAATGGTGAAAGTCCAGAAGAAGAACGATACTGGATGCAACAGGAAAGACAAAAACGGAAAGCCTGACGCCGTCTGCAGCCGAGTTTTCTTGCTTTGTGGCTAGGTGAGTTTCTGGCGAATTTCAAGAGTCGAAGGATGGAAGCCAGAGACACAGGTCTATGTTAGATATTGGCCGTCGCGGAGAGCACATGGAGGGCCCGGTTTGTTTGGCACGCAGCCATCTTCTCATGTGAGTTGCGGAGACACGGGCAAAAAATGGATCAGAGAGCTTGAAGAATCACACGAAGACTCAGTAAAGTTTCATGGCTCTGTGTGATCATCTCAAGACGGCAGTTGGTTTCCTCTCCACCCCAGTTCCATTTGTTGATTGGCTTTTGGGAAAGTTGAGCAGACTGCACGAGGTACGAAGGATGAAAACATCAACAAGCACGTATCAGATTCATGCTGAGGCTCTGTTCAAGTCGCAGATTTCCGCAATTAAGAAACTTCGCCTGCCGTGTGTTGTGTTGTCAGATTTGTCCCACTGAGCGTACCAAACCGCGCGCATATGCGCCGACGTTGTTCATAGATGGCTGCAAAATTCTTTCCTCAGTTGATGATGACTACCTCTATCTCTCCTTATAACAAGAGAGTCATGGTGACAGTGAAGTCTCGAATTTCGTAGAGTTGTCATCTTTAGTCTGCATTCCCACCAGTGCTTGACATGTTGCAGTATCATCAACCTTGAGTTCAGTCAGTATCTCCTTCTCTAACGACTCGACTCATCGCCCCTGCGCCACGTCTCTAAGCGGGTGCCTCTCCATGCGGTTCAGGACCAAAAATATGCCGGTAAATATAAGACCAAGATCAAAAGAGAGCAAAAAGACACGTTTCCGACACCGAGAATCGAACTCGGAGCTCTCCGGAACCTCAGACCATTTGACCGGCTTGAAAGCGGAGTATGTTAACCACTACACCATGCCGGATGCTGATTTGTTGGAAGGCGAGGCGATCAAGCAGCCTATGAAGGCCACGTCAGACCGTGTGGTACAAAGCGCAGTTGGCTTGGGGTTGGCGTGGCCGAGAAAGGAATGGCTCGAGTCAGACGTGGAGGCACACAGTCTCACGGAGCATGACCGAGCTTGACAGAGGCCGGGCAACTCGATAAAGGACGGTAAAAGCTGCTTGGATGGACCATTGTATTGAAAGACTGTTAAGTTGTTTGACTGATTAATCTTTGGAACAGATTGAGTTACAAGTGTTTGTAACACTGCAGAGCCGCATAGAGTTTGAGTGATCGGATTGCGTGTTTCTGTTGAATACAACTCTCAGAGCCGACACCTGTTCGCAGCTGGCTCAACAAAAGCATAATCCGAGGAGGCACAATTTCCATGACAGCGGTTTTCTGCACATATGGATACTCCATGTCGAATGAATCAAGAGACTCCGTCAGTGGTTTGGGAACCGGACGACATTGAAAAAGCTCAGCATGCCCGCCTCCGGTCCATGCTGGCAATTGACTTTTTCCTCTCTCCAAGCATCTTCGACACACTTGTCCGACTCATCCCAGCTTTGAGAGACTCAACCCACGACACACGCCCCGAAGACATCAGGCTCAGCGGTCTTCGGACCGCCGCTTCGTTACGTCTTCCATCCGGCCGCGGACACGGTTTCACATTTGGAGGGCTTTCGGACCCGGCGGCATCATGAGCTTGGCAGGACGCCGGACTCATCCCGAACACGTTTGTGAGGCATCAAGCCAAGCATCGTGACGGACCAAAGGTGCCAATGGAATGTCTGATGTCTAATTACTGCAGATGTCGACGCCCGGGCACCCCACACTCTCTTCTGAAGATCACGATCTGGGTCAGCCTGTCTGCGATTCCCGCGGAACCCTCTGTGAGTCACGGGGGACAGTATCACCTGACCGCTACGTAACCGCAATGCAGCTGGCACTTTCGTGTTCGTAGGACTTTTGAACGGCGCCGCCAGGTGCTGACATGGCGGGTGGCCGGCGGCCAGCTCTGTCAGTAAGTATGGTCGGGAACACACCCCTCTCTACGGGTTTGGCCCAAAGGGGCAATGAAACGACACGGCTTGCATCTGAGGAATCTATCCACAGCTGCGGTCCACTAGCGGAATGCCCCGCCCTAGGGCTCGCGTAGTGTACGGGAGCCTGGATGCGTACGGATGCATTGCAAAAGAGCAGAGGAAGAGGGAAAAAAAGGGCAGAAGAGATGTCTGATGGTGTGTTGCTGTCTGTGATGCGACGCCGGGCAGGCAAAGGCCTTTTTGCATTCGTGTCAGATGATTGGCTTTCCGATGTTCGGATGCCACGGCGAATGAGTGAGAACCTTGAGGGCGCGGAAAACGTCCGGACTCGGGGCCCAGTCGGAGAGACTAGAAGTTTTCTGGAAGGAAAAGCTCCACTTTTCGCGTGTGCTTATCCCTCTTTCTGCACCGAGACTGAGAGATGGACGTGGAAGAAGCTCGGGCCATGCTTTTGGACCCCGATCCGACGCTAGGGCCATTTCGTCCAAGACGGTCAGCTGAACGGATTAGAACGAACGGAGCGAATGAACGGTGCGAACGGACGGCGCCAAAGCCCAGACGGCACCAGACTGTCTGTCACTGGCAACTGCGCACGTTCGAGATCGCCTGCCAGCTCAACAAGTGCTGTCTGCAACAAACCTTGAGCAGGCTTGGCGTCGGACTTGCTGCCCCCAAGAAATCAAAAAGGACGAACATCGGTTGTCTCGAACAGAAAGTCAGATGAGAGAGTGAGAGAGATCGGTCCAATCCCGAGAACGGAGGATGGATGACCTCAGTGCCATCGCGGCCTCCGGGCATGAAGGATGGGTGGAAATTATTTCAACCTCGCGGCACAGACGAGGATATGACGAAACACCGTCAGTCACCTCACCTCTCCCGACTGCTCGGTTCCTGCCGTAACCATCGGCGCAGCGCTCCGGGAGGGTCAAGTCAGACAATTATTGGCCGCCGCAACGTCGAAAAGCCTTTCCTGCACCGGGATAGGGCCACCACACCAACTTTTTCAATCACGTCGCCCTGCGTCACGTTACGAAGGCAGGCAGTTGGAGAAGACCTCCGAAAAGAAAGAGTTGGAGACGACTCCGCGGAGATACAAGTTTCTCTCTTCAACAGTCCAAGGATCTGAGGCAAGCATCCGTTAGTGCGTCGCTAACGTCGCCTTACCGTACAATTCGCAGGGATGCAATCCAACGCTACAGGCTTGTCCAGCGCGGGAATCTGCTTCGAGCCTGCATCCTGCCATTGAGTCCAGACCCCGCGCCGCCGTCTTTAACACGCTGTCCGCTTTCAGTGCCGCCGTTGCTGTTACGGCACTTGAACTGCTCCCGTCGCGGATCATGGAGTCGCTACCGCGGCACCGCTCAAGGGCCTGGGCTCACCTATGAATGCTTCAGCGTCGTCAACTGCACTT